TGTTAGGACTTGCGCCTTAAATTAAAAGAGTGTTACTGGTTTTGAATTTGTTATCGTTTCAAGAAATGGTTAATTGTGTTAAAGCTTTAAAGAGAAAAAGCTCAGAACGAAAAGTTTGGAGAAATAAAATCTTAGATGATTAAGAGAATTAGTGCTTCATAGAATTTTAGCACCATCAAAGAAAGGTAGAGATTCTGGTTCAACTTTAAACCAGACATGAATTAGTTGTATTCTCCGTCGGAGAATCAAATCAGATGAGAGTTCGACAGACTCCAACAGTAGGTTTGATCTTGAAAGATTAAGCAAAGAGTTAATTGAGGATAAGTCAAGTTTAAAGACAACCCTTGTGAATTGGGTTAAAAGCTCTTTCAGAAGTTATGTAAATCGAAGCAGAAAAAGTATTTTAAATGGATTAGATGAGTATTGAAATCTGGTGATATTTTTTTAAAACAAGTGGAGAAAACATAAGTATAAGAATGGTAAAGAATAAGGTTTTATGTAAGTAAAGTTGACTATCAAAGTAATGAAAATGTGATAAGGAGTGATAGTTAAGGATAAATATATGTTATATAAAAGAGCATGGGAGTATGAAGAACATGATATGGTTTAGTTATGTATAAGACAATGCGGATTATAAAAGGATAAATGGATAAAGATCAAGGAATGGATTAAGTGTTTTGCTAGAAATTAAATAATGTGAAGGATAAGAAGTATTTTAAATGTATCAAGTGAGGTATATATTGTTTTTGTATTTAAGATGGAAAGAGTTAGCGTTGGCTAACAAGATTATGGGACGGAATATATTGAAATTACAAGATTTCAAGATATGGTAGGTTATGATAACCAAATATGAAGTGAATTTGGATACAGTTGTATACTGTGATTATAGTAAAGTGATAGAGTGAAGGAAGTGAGGATTCAAATGTTTGAGTAAAACTAAGGATTGATAAGAAGAGTTTAAGTATGGGTACATCAATGATCAGTTTATAAATAAAGGAAGTTAGAATGTTAAGCTTGAATAATGGAAGTGACATGGTGTATGAGATTGAATGTTTATTTGATTAGTTGAGTAAACTATTGTTGAAATAATTCCGACTGCAAAGAAGGTATATGAATGGTTCGATGAAGGTTTATGTTTTAGATTGGAAGAATCGATGTTGACTAACAGAGTTATAAGATTGTAGTGTATTAAAGTTAAAGGATTAGAAGATGATTTCAGGGTAAGCTAATTATGTATGGTGTGGATTGAGATATGGTTATGTATTTTAATCATTGAAAATGAAAGGTAATAAAGGAGACAAGGCATAATACTGTATATGAATGAGAGTATGGGCTCAATAAGTGAATTACACTTGGTTGATTTTAACTGAAATGATGTGTATGATTAATTTGATCAGGGCTTACGCCCTAGATTGAAAAGTTGTTATTAATTAGCTGTAATGGCATGGATGTTAGAATTATCAGATTTGAAGGAAACATAAAGTAAGTTAATCAAATGAGATACGAATCTGGATGTGGTTGTGTATTTTGATCATATAGATATGATATAGGCAAGAAGATAAATATTTATGTATTTTAAAGAAAATTTTGAAGGAAGAAAATACAAGCAAGATACGATAAGAATGAGGTTTTGTATAAGTGAAGTTGATTAGTAAAGTTATAGAGATATAATAAAGACTGGTAATCAGAGATAAGTATAAGTGATAGGAAAAGTGTATGTGAACATGAAAGAAAGATATGATTGGTGTATAAGAAGATTTTGAGTTATGAAGAAAATGAAAGGATGAAGTTTAAAGAATTGGATGTGATAAAGATTATGTTGAGATATAGGTTATAAGTTTAACCAGAAGTAAGAAAGGTATGTCAGGTAATATGAGAAATTGTTTAGTTATGCAAAGTGTATGTTTAATCAGTTATGATGAAAATTTAAGGTTATGTTTCTTAGTCAAGTGGATGTAGTCAGAGAAATGAATAAAGATTTATATGTATTAAGGAAGTTTTGGAGTCAGTAAAGTAAGGATGAAATAAAAGTTTGGTGATTCTTGAAAGACAATTGAAGATTGACAAGGAATTTGATTGATTTATGAGTTTGAGTAATAAGAATTAATGTTATTGTCTATCTGATAAGTGACATGATAGGAGATATAAAGTAAAAAGGTAGTCGAATAATTGAAAAGATAAGAACCAAGTTATTAAAGATGATACAAAAGATTAAGTTCATAAAGCAGCATGAGAACGTTAGAAGATATGTTCTTCTTAAGATGTGCAGTGAAAATTCGAGGACGAATTTTTAAAAGGAGGGGAGATTTGTAACATCCCAAACTATGGGTTAGTGACCAAATTGTAAAGTTTCAGAATTTGGTGACTAAAGTAGAAGAATGGATTAGTTCAGTGATTTATTTGGAAGTAATTCCTAAAAGTTGTTAGTAAATATTAAAGGAACTAAAGGGTAAAATGGTCATTTGATCATTTAAGGAATTAAAAAAATATGATAGTGGGGATATATATTTTACACATGGAAAATGAGGGAAACAATGTTTCCAGAATTCTCTTCTCCTCCTTTTTTCTTTGTGCGTGAACCTCTAGCTCAAAGGTGAGTTTCTTAATTAGTTGGTAATTTGTTGAATTAAAAGTTGGGTTATGATTCTTAGGTGATACTTAAGCTTAAGGAAAGCTTAAGTTATCTTAAAATCAAAAGATAAATGAGTTGGGGAAGATTAAAGATTTGGAGTTCTTGAGTGAATTTCCAGAATGGAGTTGATAAGTTGAATTTGAAGCTAAATTTGACTTGTCATCAGCTTAATTAAGAAGTATTAAGTGTTAGAATTGGATTTGAAACATGTGGAAAATAGGGTATGATTCTTGAAATTCCTAAAGAGGAGAGGATATTAAGGTTAAAGATGAGATAAATGAATCTTAAAGAGTTTAAGTATGTATATGAAAGTTAGGAATATGAAATGGGTTGAAATATGAAGGATTTAATCCAAAAAGAATGAATTTTCGGGTTCAAAAAGAGGTTCTGGGCAGAGTGCATCGATGCGCATTCATAGTGCATCGATGCATCAAGGTTAAAACCCAGAAATCGTTTGAAGGTGTATCGATGCACAGGAAGTGCATCGATGCACTCTTTTAAAATAAATACATTGAATGCAATTCGTGCATCGATGCATAAGTAGTGTATCGATGCATCCCAGTAATAAACAAACATCAAATGTATTTTATGCACCGATGCATCAGTAGTGCATCGATGCATACCTTCATTAAAAGATGAAATTGCCTTTTCTCTTAGTCTAAAGAGTGAACTATTAGAGTATATTAGTTATAATACTAATATATATCTATGTATGATTATGTAGATATAGAACGTGATCTCGTTCCGGATCAATTGAAGGATTATAATCGAATCAAAGCAAAGCTAAGGTGAGTGAACATTCTCTAGTATATGAGGTTCAAGGGAAATAAGTCTTGTAATAAGTCTATTTCCAATAGTGAAAAACATGAATTCATTGAAGTATGTATTTGTTATGATTTATATGTGTGCATGAGTATATGTGTTATTGATATGAATATGGTAAGTAAAAGGGATTAATGGTGATGATAAGAATAATAATAAGGATAATGAAATGATAGGTATATGTGAATATAGGTATTGATGTGTTTTGTATGTATTGTAAGACGATATGTTTATGTTATAACATGATAAGATGACAATGATTTACATGTCATATGAACACATGAGAAATGTTATGAGCCATATGAAAGAGAAAGTATATGTGATACATGAGAGTGAATCCTATGTTTATATGAATATGAACTCATATGAGAATTGACATGAACTACGTGATTACATGTATATGTGAATGAAACCATGAGCTTATATGAATATATGATATGGTTACATGAATATGTAAAAGGATATAAAAGATAATGCCCATGTTATGTGTCATGAGAGCTAGGGGTATAGTTGGCATGCCAAGAGTCGAGGGTCTATGTGGTCCTTCGGGACATATATGTATTCTTTGAAACATGTGTAAAGTCTGGTGCGATGCATACTTGATCCCTAGTATATGTATATGATTCTTAAGGAATGATATGTGGTCCTTCGGGACATATATGTATTCTTTGGAACATGTGTGAAGTTTGGTGAGACACATACTTGATCCCTAGTATATGTATATGATTCTTAAGGAATGATATGTGGTCCTTCGGGACATATATGTATTCTTTGGAACATGTGTGAAGTCTGGTGAGACACATACTTGATCCCTAGTATATGTATATGATTCTTAAGGAATGATATGTGGTCCTTATGGACATTATTATATGGTACTACGGTGCAATTCTACGCGGCACTACGGTGCAATTCTACGTGGCACTCCGGTGCAATTATATGTGGTACTTCGGTGCAATTATATGAGTTGCGGTGACAGCATTAGTGCACAACCTCTATGTACTCGCATATCTTTAGTTCTCACATGTGTATCATGGGCTATTAAATAGATAATATTAATAAGGTTATGATAATATGTTTATTTCCTTGTGGAATTTCACGTGTGATATTGATTGTACAAATGGTAACTTATAAGACCATATGATGAAAGGAATCAATGATAGTGATAAACTAAGAAAGAAATGAAGATGATAATATAGTTGCTTGGGTGTACGTGTTTTATGATAGTATATATATATGGTTTACATGACATGATATGTATATGTGCAATTGGTTATGATATATGAATATATGATATGGACATAAAAGATCATAGGAACATGAGATAATAGATATGAATGATAATGACATATATGTATGCATATATTTGTTACATGTAAAAGTATGAGTGGTATGAAATGATAGTAGTAATTGTTTAGGTATGATTATTAGTTACCGTTTACCTTATATGTTTATATGCCTCACTAAGTCTTTGACTTAGCGTGTAAGTGATTTTACACGTAGGTTTCGAGAAGAGTAAAGAGCAATGTGGAGCAAGACAGGTCAGTTCTCCTTACTAAAGGTCAGATCAGGAAAGATGTGAATAATATGTATTTTAGTATATAAAGTTCTAGTTGGCATGTTTTCAAAAGAATCTATTGTTTAAGCTATGAACAATTTTATAAATGTTTCGAATAGTTATATGTAAATAATAAGTGAAATATACATGCTCTGATTGGTTTTGTAATAATGAAAATGTCTTTTTATGTAAATTAGTCATTTATATATTATAAAAGTTTTAAATTACTCACTATTTTATACAAGTACATGTTTTAAAAGGTCAATGTGACACCTCGGATTCGTATCCGGGTCGGATACGGGTTGGGGTGTTACATCTATCCACCGAATGACCAGTCTTACCACATAGTTGACATTGAAGTCTAGAGCATCCACGACCACGAGCTCCTGATCTAGCAACACATCCACCCGAACTATAAGGTCAATTATACTGATTAGAACGACCAGGATCTTGACTATTGTTCTACATATGAATAATATTTGCACTCATTGACACGTGATTTTGAAGCTGAAAACTCTTGAGATATACCTCGGCATCAACTAGCACAGATTTTACCCCATCAAACGAGAATGCTTCTTTACTAGCCATGATAACCGCCATAAACGGTTGATACTCAAACGAAAAGCCATTCAATATAGTTGCTATTTGTTCAAGATCTGACATTGCAGTACCACACGCAGCCAACGCATCACACACTTCTTTGATCTGAGTAAGATATAACCTCATAATCTCATCACTTTTCTTAATCGACCGTAATTTTCAGTGAAGACTCATTACAGTCGTTGTAGATCGATTGGAAAAGAACTTAAGGACAGTTGACCACACATCCGTAGCTATTTCTGCACCCACAAACTGAGGAAGTATATGATCCACAACCATGAAGCTAAAGCATTATCTTATGCCACAAAGATTTCATAATCTTCATTGACCTCAAGATTGCCATCTCTAGACTGGATCTGTGCTGGTGGAGGTTTAAGTTCTCCAGTGATTAATCGTTCCAAGCGATGACTCCTCACTTTCAAGAGAACTTGTTGTTTCCATAACAGGAAGTTCATTTCATGAAGCACAATATTGATTTTCTTGTTTGTGAACAAGAGACTATTTCTCAAAGAGTCTCCAAGATCAAGCGTTTGCCCAACATCCTCAGCAGCCATGAACGAAAAAACAAGCAGAGAAAGGAAGAAATGAAACAACTCAGCAACTATCAGGGAAGCAACGGAGAAAAGAAGTCTCCAAGACCAATGGTGAAAGATACCATGTTGAGAAACCCAAGTAAAGTAGATAGGTGAACATCAAGAATCAAGTATGTTATTCATATCAATGATGTTTACATAGATCTATCATTTATACAATGTGCAGTAACAGAATAGCTGAGGTTGATAAACCTAATAACCAACTATGTTAAGCTGGATAACCAACTATGCTGAGCTGGCATCCAAGCTTCCTAAACTTCCAGAATATGCTCAACATCATCCCTGCTGCTTCAACTCTTAAGTACAAACACGTTCAACACCCTTGAAGAAAGAATCACCAAATGGGCTTTGGATATTAATACTTCTAAATATAAATGCGGAACTCAAGCAGCTTAGAAGTACTTATTGAAGAAGAAAAAACTTCCTTTAACTTGTTTATGGTAAAACTCTTGCACTGAATATTTTTCTCTATGTACCTACATGTCTTATGTATAAACTTGATTAGTGGTGGATTACTAAATGAGGCATGCATTAAACTAATATTCAAAATAGATAAACTTGTATTTTGTATTTTCTTGGAATGGAGATTTTGTAAGAAAATAATATTTAAATGGGATTTATTTGTAATAGATATGATGTTTAATGAAAGTAAAAATATCATCACTTCTACTTATAGTCTCTCGATATGTGACATATTAGATTAAGTCATGTGAACATCCATCCACTAAAAAATTTATTGAAATGAATCTGTTTCTTAATATAGATGAAAATAACTTTAAAAATGTGAAATTTGTGTAGAAGTCAAGCATTAGACCTCCCTTTAAATCTCTAACTAAAAGAAATACTGGACTCTTAGAATTAATGCCCAATAATTTAGCAAACTTTAGAAACTGTGAAAGTAAAAGAGGTAAAGATTACTACATTGCCATTGGAGATGATTATTCTCGATATATAAAAGTTTATATCTAAAGATAGAAAAGATTAAGCTAAAAAGTACTCTCTAATTTATAAAGTAGAAATAGAAAATTAACTTGGCACGATAATAAAACAAATTAGATCTTATACTGGTGGTAAATACAACTCTAATTTCCTTAAAGATATATGATAGGATCATACGGCTATAATGAGTCAATTTCAATTTAAATAGGCTTTTTCAGGTTAGAATCCAACTCAAATATTATAATATTAAAAATATTATATTAAATTATAAGATATTAAATAAAATTATAGGTTAATTACGATTTAAATGAGTCTTTCAAGAACTAAATCTAACCCAAGTATTATAATAATTATATTAAATAAGGGTATATTTTGATTTGAATAGGTATTTCGGGGATAAAATATATCACAATATTATAATATTAGATTAAGTTATAAAATATGGAATAAAAATAGGTGTAACACCCATAACCCGTATACGTTTAGAATTACAAGTTAAAGATGTTACATTAAACATTTCAGAACATTCCTGGAACGTAATTGCTTAAAAATTTCATTTTATTGTAAAACATATCTTTGTCAACTTTAAACCTATTTTATTAACCATGTGTATTCATATCATTCAAAACAAATCCTATTTAATGCAACAATTAGGAAGTTCAGTGTTGTTTCATAACTATATAAATCTGCTTAAAAACTGGTTTATTTAAAAACCATTTAAAACCTAACATTTATAACATTCATTCATAAATACGATTATAACTAAAATAGCCAAAATTAAAATAGTCCTAAATTACTATTATAAACCCTTTTAAAATAAATTCAATAAAGCAACCCAATAGATATAATGTGCATGCCACTAATAAGTCAAAGATAGGATGTCTTATCGATACTGTCAGTAGGTTTGATTTTCAAAAGATTCTCGGAAAGCTCCTCACTTCACAACATTTTCTTTATTCGAACCTACACATGAAAATCATCACGCGCTAAGTAAAACTTAGTGAGGTAGTTATACAACTAAAGTGAGTTAAAACATAAAATGAAATAAAATATTTTAAGACATAAAAAGAAATGTAATTGAATAAAAAAGCATTGAAACTTTCAAACCGAGCTATTTAAGTCGATTTTCTCTTCAGAAAACCTGAAAATCACCATCTCATGATTTTATCAAAATCATGTAAATCAACATCAGATATAAAAACTATTTCATATTTCTTTTTCATTCATATATAATTCACAACTTTCATTTTTCACTTTCATATTCTTTCCTTTCAAATACTTTTCTTAACTTTTTTTTATTAACTTTTCATATTTACTTTCATATCCCAATGTATATTTATGAGAACTCAAGGTATGTAAGTATAACATAAGGTGCACACAGGGCACATCACAGTGTCAATCTTAACTGAAACATATAATGCACTCCAAGTGCAATCATAACATGAGCACCAACAATGCAAATTATAAAGTACACGAATGTACCATAACTTAACTAGAAAGTACTCAACTTAATGGAATGTCAAATGTACCTACAACTCTCAATGCAACATACAATGGACTTATATATTATAATAGAATCATTAATTAATCTACGTTTGAAAATCATAAATCTTAAAAATTCATCATCATAAAAATCTTACTTGGTCAGTTCATACCCTAAATCAATCATAAAACTTATTGAAAATATTATAGAAATCATCCATAATTAAAAGTTATAAATCATACTTGAAAATAAAATGAGGTTGACTTATCGTAAGTCATCCTCGATCATAATAATTAAACAAATAAACAGCACCGGCATTAATAATTCATATACAAGTCAAAATATAAGCCTCACGAAGTTTTAAGCTTGATTCTTTGCTTTCGAATCACTTCTATCATGAAATTTATCACAAATTCATATTCTGGCAGTTTGTACTACCTTCAAAGAAATATTATTCTATATTAATCTACACACTTAAAAATTATTCTTCTTATACCAATGGAAACTAGACTCTAATACAAATCAAAACATATAAGTAAATTCTTCTAGTTCAATTTGTGCAATTTATATGGAATTTTCAAAGTTAAATTATATAAGTTGTTTTAAGCAGAATCTGCTGCCCTGTTTTCTAACCTATCATTGATTAAAAATTCATATCTTTTTGTATACTCACTAAAATAAGTAGCCGTTTGTTTTAGACAAAACTAGTCTCATATGAAAGTCGAACGGTACAAAAATCATCCTCTAATCATTTCTGTAAATTTTATGGTGATTTTCTAAACTTATTGTTCCGATCACAAATCTAGGCAGATTTCACCAATTAACATTTTCAACTTGTTCACTAATTCTATTAGCTTACCAAATGCACATATATACATAAATCACAAATTCACACAACATTTGAAGTTACTTCTTACCATAGCAACTCCGTCGCTAGCTCATCGCAAACCAATATTTGCTCGATAACATAAATACATATTAAATTTGCACTCACCTGGTGTCCTTAGCTTGTAAACCTTACTAGCACTTCATATTACGTCCATAAGCTTCTCCTTAGCTTTAACATTGTTTTTTTTTAATTCAATCATAATCTAAATGAACACCATTTACAAAACATATACATTTCAAACCATATGTTAGAATCTTACTAACATAGGCACATAATAGAAAATATATTCCTAAAAACCTTTTTATGCTCATTCTATACGAATTTCATATCACATCATCAATGTTAGTCTTAATACTTCAAATTGACCAATAAATCCCTTTTTATCCAAATTCACCCAAACATCACGTAACATTCTTCAACTTTCCATTTTAACTACCATTTATGAATTCTTTTAGAATTCATATCAACTTTCCATTTTATTCCAAATAGTCCTTTGCCTTTTACCTTCAATTCAAGTTTCAAACTACTTAATTAAATTTCCATCATCTAATTTTCAGTGCAATGCCTCAACAACTCCACTATTACCACTTAAGTCACTAACTTTCTCAATATTTTCCATTTAATACTCAAACGCCAACTTTCCAAAATAATCACATTTCATATTCTAACATCAAATTCAATAATCTAACTTTCAATTCCAGCCTTGTACATCATCTTTCTAACATTTTCAAATAAACCCTATAATTTTTCATAATTGTCAAATAGGTCCCCCAACTTTCATAAAATTACAAAATGACCAAATTAACTTTCTAAAGCTTGTAGAACCTTTCAAACATCATTTCTAAGCATAGGGAAATTTTTCACAATTTTTCCCAATTAATTCCTTAGGACCAAATATCATAGTGGTCATGGTTCTTGATTTTCACTTGATTCAAGCATGGATTCCCCTCTAAACAACATTTCAAGGCTTCTTCAATAAAAGCCCTAACATAATTAAACCAAATCACAATTTTCTCAAAACCCTAGGTCATGGCCAAATGGAATTTCACCCAATTTCAAGTAGTTTTAATCATCATACAAGCT